GTCCAAGGGTTGACTAGACAAGCTCTCTCCTAAGGCAGTCTACCTCAAATTAGGGTTTCAGTTTGCATCAAGGTACTTGAGTCCAAAGGATCCCAAATGTTCACCATTTTCCTAATATACTCTCAAGATCATCCATGTCAAGTTTCAAGCCTTACAGAGGAAATTTGCTCAGTCAAATGCTCAAAGGCTTGAAAGTCGATTGTGCTAGGGCAAAAGTCAACTGTGGCCCACATACAGTCAAACATCAAGATTTTTGGTCAACATCCTCATTTTGAAGCATTATTCATCATTTGATCAAGGGTTGATCATTATTCCTAAATGATTGCTCACAATTCATCAAAACCCAAAAGTTGCTAAATTAGGGTTTTGTAGGAAAAGTCAACTCAACTTTGACCAAGCATAACTTTCTCATACTTTATCAAAAATGACCCATCCAAAGCTCATTTTGAAGAGGATTTAATTACCTACAATCAATCTTCAGTTCTCAAGTTCAAAATATTCACTCACAAGAAGATATGAATTTGGACATTATAGGTCATTTTGAAAAGTCAACAAAAACACCTTTTTTTGTCAAAGCTTCATACATGAACATGGAAGACTCAATTGAGATGATACCAAAAGGGTTGTTTAGAGGACATCTTAAGATTTATAAAAAGTCCAAGAACACATCTCTAAGATCAAAATTGAAGGAGTTATGCATTGGCAAAGTTAACCTTTTTTGCAAAATTGCCAAAAGTCAAAAGTGGCCAAAATTGCAATTTTTGTCAAATGGGACTAACTTTTTATGCTTGCATTGAGTTTGTAACATAACCCACGACCCATAATCCTTCCCACTTGTCTTTATTTTATTTTTGTCAATTATTTTGATTTTTATTTCAATTAAATCAAAATAAAATCATGAAAATATCAAAACTAATCAAAGCTTGAGATTTTGTGCATGTTTTGGTCTCTTATACAACGGGAAGAAGAATCAAATCGTGCAAGCTTCATTTGGACACAAAAAGATTGGATTTGGCTTGATTTGGAAAGATTTTCATAAGGATCAAATCATGACTCAATCATCTTAATTGAAAAAGATTTGAAGCAAATTTGTAACCCTAATCCATTCTAGGGTACATATAGAACAAGTGCAGATCAAAAGAAAGGGGATTGGAGGCGTGAAAAGAGAAGAACAAATCTAAAAATTTCAAAGGAAAGTGGCAATCTGATTTCTTAGTTCCAGGTTTCCTCAAGCCATTCCAGGCGTACCATTCGTTTGCTGGAAATCTAAGGACCCTATTCCAATCACTAGCAAGCCTCATAACATCCAAAAACGCGCTGTAAGCATCTCACGACATTCATACTTTTTTGAAATCGAATATCACGATTCTAGCATTTGTAGCATGATTTATTTGCATATTCTTGATCCTTGAACCATTTGCAAGCTAATGGTTATGTTCAATTGCATTTTCATTGGCTATACAGCAAGTTGCCATGTTTAGGGTTTTAGTTTCGTTTTTAGGGGTTTCGCTTGCAGGAATAATTAGCCATGAAGAGTGGTACCATGATGCTCGTGAGATTGCAACGAGCTGATAGGTACCACTAGTATTGATTTATCATATAGGGATGAGGTTTTGGAATGGACAAGGGTTATACCTACACCCTTTGTCCGTAGGTAAAAGTTCTGGACTTTTAGCAACGATGGGAGGAAGAAGAAGGGTAGCGTGGCAACCTGTGATTCAGCCACTCAAAAATTCGCGCGTTTGTAATATATCATTTTGTTTTTCCAATATAATGTTTGTTTATTGATCTTTGTACAAATAACCAACGTAGCTCAACTGGTCAGCTTGGAGTATGAAAATACCAAAGGGCCTGGGTTCGATTCCCAGGTCCCCAACTTTATTCCATGTTATATTTATCTACATCATCAGGTACACATGCATACAAGAAGACCACTATACGCCCTCAATGTCTAGCCAATCAGACCACTCACATGCTAGATCCAAGGATTCTCAATGAAGGTCTACCATGGACATCAGTTAAGCTAGCAGCATTGGATCTGGAAAGTCAACATGGGATAGGCGCATTTGGGCTTGGATTTGCAATTCAGACCCCCTTTTTTTCTTTAACACTAGGCCCATTCTAATTTCTTTTCTTTTATTTAATTTATTTTGATTAATTTATTTTCTAATCACAAACTAATTTCTTTTTACAAAAAAAAAATCATAAAATAAATTTCATCAATTTAGAATTTAGGTTTTATTTTATTTTATCAAATTAATTTTATATTAGTTTTAATTTTAGAGTAACTCTAACCTTTTTGTAAATACATTAAAATCAATTAGAAAATTAGGTTTGTTCTTGATTTAATTTTTATTTTCTTTTCACAAAATAGTAAAAATACAAAAAAGTAGTTAATTTAATTATTTTTCTCAAATAAAATTAATTAGTCTTTAGGTTTTCTTTATTTATTTAATTAAACTCTATTTTTTCTCAAAATAACACAAAAAACCAAAAAATGATTTTTCTTTCAATTAAGTTTAGACGGAGTCAAAACCCTAATTTTTCTCGTTCTTAATTCATCGTGCGCGTTTACTATTTTTTGTGATATTAATGTAACTGGTCATGGTATGTAATAGTTTAATTAGGACTTGTCTTTTATTTATCATTTTACGGGTTTTTGGTTATGTAATTAATCCCCTACCCCGAAGGCTTGTAATAGCGTAATTTTATTTCTCGCATTTTAATTTTCGCAAATATTAACTGTTAGATGTATGATAATAGGATTGCATGACAAGACTGTATGTTAATTTTAAAATGGTTAGCAAACCCTAAATGTGCAAAGATAATAACTGAAATCAAAATTATCTTAATTCCATTGAAATTAGGCGCAGACGTACCCACGCGCGAGGAAGGAAATGGGAAATTGTGAAGACAAATCCTCGCGTCTCTTTTCTTATTTCTTTTACTTTATTTAATAGTCATCAATCCATTTGTCAAATAGCATTGTGTTATCAATTGAATCGTAGGAGATTTTCCTAACTGTTTCTTATTTACATCAAGTATTGATACTGCTTATAATCATTTTTGACTATAAGTGCTTTTGTGCATCAATATAACTTAAAGGAAAATTATGAAAATTCACTTGTACATCATGTGTTTGAAAAATTGATTTTGTTAGTTCTATTTAATATTGCCATTGGAAATAGCTTTACTAGAATCTTGTTATAAACGTTAAATAAGTTGTAAAGTGATTCAAGCGTATTAATTAAATTTTCATGCTTATTCCATACTCTACTTGTTATTAAATTTGCATATTCAAGTTTCTAATAACATTCGTAAAGACGAATTATTTTGAAAAGCTCTTCCGCTCAAACTCTTATAAAACTAATTTTTCAAAACCTGAATTTTCTAGAATTTTAATTGGGTATCTATTCCCCCCTCCCCCCCTCCTCCTCTATATACGTTGTCGTCTAACAAAAGAGGCCTTGAGTGATCCAAAGTGGAATTGTGCTATGAAGGAGGAGCTGAAATCGATTGAGAAAAATAGTACTTGGGAGTTGGTTGATTTAGCGAAAGGAAAGATGATGATGTTTTTGCACCAAAGAAGATATGCTCTTGAGATATTGAAGAAGTGTGAAATGGAGCATTGTAATGCTTCCATTACACCAATTGAACCAATGTTGCAGCTGTCAAAATATGAAGAGGATCAGAACGTAGATCCTACTCAATATAGAAGGTTGATTGAATTATTATATTACTTGTGCAATACACAATCAAATTTGATATTTAGTGTCGCTATTGCATGTAGATTCATGAAGAGACTGAAGGTGTCTCACTTGGAAGCAGTCAAGAGGATCCTAAAATATGTCAATGACTCTATTGGCTGTAGAACTATCTTTCCTCCACTGGATACAGGAAGAAAATGCAATTTACTTGGTTTTACCGATTTCAATTGGTATGGAGATAAAGATGATCGAAAATCTACAGTTGGATAAATATTTATGTTCGGTAGAACACCAATCTCATGGTGCTTGAAGAAAGAACTAGTAGTTATACTCTCATCTTGTAAGACTGAGTATATTATCGCTTTGTTATGTGTGTGTCAAGTTGTGTGGCTAATGAATCTATTGAAAGCGTTTGACAGAAATGAGGGTGAGACTATCACACTCTTGATTAATAATGTTTCAACCGTTAATCTTGATAAGAACCCAATTTTCCATTGAAGGAACAAGCACATTGAGATGAGGTTTCACTACTTGAGGGAGCTTGTTAGTGAAGACTAGTGAAGATTGAGATATCGTATAGGTGAAGACCAAGTTGCTGATTTGTTGACTAAGGGAGTCACAAATGATGTGTTCAAAAGGTTGAAGAGGAGCATGAGCATGGAAGACTTGAAGCACTTGAATTAAGGTAATGTGTTGTGTAAACCAGTAATTGAAGTGGTGTAACCGATTACAACTTGGTGGAAAAACACTTCTGAACAAGGAAAAATTAGTTTGGAGTTGTGTTAACCGGTTAATGAAACGCGTTAACTGGTTACACCTAATTGATATTTTTTAGTTTGTATCAGCCGTAACCGATTAACAATTTGTGTTAACCGGTTACAGTCCCGAGTTTTGACTTTTTCTTCTAGTTTGTTGATGTGTTTTAGGTCTCAATCATTTTATAACACTTGTATAAATGTCTTATATGCATCCTCATCTTTAGCTAATACAATTGTTCATTCTTACCTTTAATTATCTTTCTCTTTCTCTTTCTCTCTCTTTAATTCTCTTTTCTCCATCACTATCTTCTTCTCCACATACAATAAATCAACCATTATTTACCATGATTGCATATTCAAACAATTGAGCAGTCAAATTTTGTTCTTGCCTTTGAAATGCTCTAATACATTTATGTTATTATCAATTACGTGATCGAATCACTGTTAAATTGGAGATATGGAAATTGAGTTTTTCAACAGTTCTCTGCATGATAATTTTTAGTAATACAATTTGTTTATGGAATCTCTTGTCGTCATGATATCGTTTTGTAAATGGTGCTTATGTCAGGTAATTCCATTTCATCTCATCATGGATCTTATAATAGCACAATTATGAGAACCAAATTCTAACATGATAAACAGATGCGACCCAAAATGGTGGACGATTGGAGTAATTGGGTTTCATTTTTCAGTGCTGCTTTTCCTGAATGTTCCTATAAAGCAATGGAGATAAACGTGATGTATACACTAATATTTGCCGTCCATAGTTATCTATCTAGTTCTCACATTCACACATATAATTTCCAAGTTTTCCTGTTTAGGTAAAGTAAGCTAGAAAGCAAGTTTAAATTGCTTCCAAGTTATGTGTCACTTAGTGGATGGTAGGTCCAAATTTCTAATTTAGTGCTTATCAAATTTGCTTCCACCCTTTAAATTTTCATATATGATGTGAGTCATTTATTATTCTTTTCAAGTAACGCAAGTACAGTTAATGAACTAATTAGACGGAGACTTGTGCGATATGTGGAATTTAGATGAATTTTTAAATAATATTAAATTATATATTATTATTATTTTTATCCTAATAATGCAAGTGCAATGAAGATGACAAGAGGATGATGTGTTAGGTTAGATGGGATAAAGTGTTTATGACAAAATCTTGTGGTGGTTTGGATGTTAGGAATCTAGAGCTGTCCAATTATGCCTTGGTTTGTAAATGGGGTTGGAGATGCCTTTTTGAACCAAAGGCGATTAGGTTCGATCTTGTTTCCTTCATGTATGAAGATGGTCTGGTGAATTTTCAGGGTGATGTTTCGTTGCGTAATCTGAACAATTTTTCTTTGTGGTGGAGGGATATGAGAGATGTTTGTAGGCTCAAGTTGGATAGTCAGCCCAGGTTTTAAAACTGTTATTCTTGTAAATTGGGGTTTAGTCTTTGATTTGATTTTTGGAACCATTGTTGGATAGACACTACCCCCTTTTAAATGTCTTTTTCCTAACCTCCATGACGGTTGCACTACATTGGACTTTAAGGTGGCTGAAATGGGTTTTTGGGAGGATAGCAGTGGATTTGGGATTTTGGAATAGATAATCATGACTTATCAGGGATGTTGCGGGAAGAATGGTTTGGTTTGTGCTCGTTAGTGTCGAATATTGCTCCTATTCAGAATGTTGTGGATTCAGTCGTTTGGTGGCATAATCTAGATGGCTTTTCGGTTAAAAATAGCTTTGTATGATTTGAAGTGTGCTAATCTCGCTTTGGATGAAGATTCTTTAAATGTTCTTAGCAACATTTGAAAAGAGAAAGTTCCGAGCAAAGTGAAGATTTTTGGGTGGCATTTTTTCAACATTTCTAAAATTGTTAGTTCTTCATTATTTTATGAATGAAATATGTCCACATTCGAATGACTTAGACTGTATAAAACCAATAACATTAAGATATCATATGAACCTCTTCATTTTGTATTGACTTGGTTGTCTAGAAAGGTTGTGGGTATTATTGTTGAATGTGTCTCTATGAATCAGATGATGATTTGGGAATTTAAATACATAAGATGATGTTTTTATTTGTTTGTCTTTTATTATACCATTAATTTAAATATGCAACATATAAGATTGATTTAATTCAATTGAATTAACTTGTCATTTGGTAATACTACCGTTGATAAACTCATTTAGATATGATCTCTAAATGTTAATCTCTCTTTCAAAGATGCATACAATTAAATTAAGATGGATCACATTGAGCTTTATTGGAATAAATTAATTTGGCATCCGTACAAAACACCCACTAAGTTACTAGTGACTTAGAAACTAATGCATAATGTTATTCCAATGATAACAACCTAATTCAAAGAGGAATTCATATGGTTTCGAGGTGATATATCTGCAATCATGATGTAAAAAATGCATACCACTTATTTCTTAGATGCATGTACACTTTAATTTTTTGCCATTGGATTGAGCGATTATTTGGCATGAACTTATACTTCAAACTCGCTGGTAAAAATTTGAGCTCTCGAATTCAGAATCTGATCATGACTCTGTAGTCGTAGAAATATTGAGACTAAGTCGTTGGATTGACTTGACTCGCACAGATCAAATAAAAATCGTCACCGCGCTTTATTTTTTCCAAAGGAATACGAAAAGAGCGAATAACCCAAAAAGAGGGGGAGAGAATCTAAGTTCGGGGGTTGGTTATGCAAAGGGAAAGTATTTGCATCATAAACATCTACGGTACTCCACGAGAACCTCTTTGCAAATTTGTGTATTTTGACTATAAATGTTGTATACAAAAATAGATTGTGGAGATGAGAAAAGAAGCATTTTTTACAATTTTTGAACCCGCCGCGGTTGCGAACCTATAGTGCCTACGTACCCCCCTTCTGTGCGATAGGGGATCAAGGTACTCGTAGTTCACCTTTAAAAAATTTAAAACACAAGCGTGTTGGTTTATTTTAAGAGACGAGACATCATCATGTTATCCGAGTGGAAAACATACTTACTACTCACAATCATGGGAAAGGAGAATTTGCGTCATCTCAAAGTGGAGGATATAGCTTGGATTTTAAAATCAACAAAGCCTCGCTCAACACCCAAGTGGAAAATATCTCACTTTACTACGTATCGTAGAAGTATAGTAGCTCGCATCACTACAAGGATTGACAAGAGTCTAACCTTTTGAGAAAAAGTTTTAAGGTAAAAAGCCAAAGTCGAAAAATGGTTTAATGAGATTGATTGACTTTTAGTCTTCTCAAAAAAAATGTCAAAGTATGATTAAGTTGATTAAAGTTTTGTTTAAGAAAAGATTTTGAAAATGCATGGACCTAAGCCCAAGTTTATTGTGAAAGCGGTTCAAGTTAGAAAACAAGAATAGTTTTGAAAAGGAGGGAGAATATTTTTGAAATTAAAGAACATGGGAGGAGATGAAGGAACTATCCTAAAGCATAAGGTAAAAGCTAGGAAAAAGAATCGTCTAACCAACAAGAAGTCAACACTTGACATAATGAGTCAATGTAGAATTCTCATCCTTTGAATTGAAACCAAACAAGAAAAGATGATAAACCTCTTAAGAAAATAAAGCTTCAAATGCATTAAGTCTTCATAAAAATTGGGCAGAGTAACGACTGTATACAAATGAATTCCCAATCACAGACAAAGTATATAATCAGAATAACATGCACACAAAGAAAACAAGCAACCCAATGTCTTGGGGTAAACCCCAAGAACTCCATACAATTATAATAGAACTTAACAAGGTCTCTAGGTAGGTCAAGATCTCTAATCCTAAGTCCAAGAAGTCCATACTCCAAAATCCCAAGCATAGTAACCAAATAGTCCAAGTAACATTAAGGTTTTTTATTGTTCAAGTTGGTTATTAGGTATCTTCAAAAATAAAATGAAAAGCTCAAGTGAGCAAACTAAGAATGACATAAAGATAAATGCTCAAGTGAGCAAAGATGAAAAGAGCATGAAATGAAAATGTTAAGATAAATGGTGCTTAAAGTAAAAGCATAAAAAAAGTAAATTGTTAATGGGTTAGAAATTAGAGGTTAGTTGAATGACCATCTTGAATCTTGCATTTGAAAACTCATTAGAAGATTGATAAAATTAAAGCTTCTCAATAACAAGTTTCATTTGCTTTTTGTCAAGTATATCATTCATTTCAAATTCTCAAGGCAACAACAAATGATCAACGATGTTTAAATGATTCACTTAGTCCGAAATTTATGATGATTCATTAAAGGATTGATAAGAACAAAGTCTCCTAAAAATGAACCTCAAGTTTATTGGATAAAAGGTTTCAAATTAAACATACTTGGGCTTGCAAAAATAGGTTTGGGCCACGAATGATCATTTCTAGAATCGGGACAAAATTTAGCATTATGTTAAGAAATCGTAAGTGGACATATATATAAGTCACACCTATTTTGAAGCCGGTAAATAGAAATCTATGTGCCATATGTTTGGAGAGATGATATGTAGATCATTCTCTAATAACATGTAACAATATTAGAAAGGGATAAGATGAAGAGGGAGGGGATACATTTGAGTTATAGAGTGCTGGAAATCAAGAAACAAAAGACTTAACTCATTTTGGACTGAGATCAGTTCAGTAGGCAGATGTCAAGACATCTGCTTTGACATCATTCAAAACAGTTTTACTCCAAATGTTAAGACATTTAGCAAAATATTAACAAGTCTTGTTTTACCAAAATTTATGCCAATAAACACTTACAAACTCCCCCCTTTGGAAAATTTTGGCTAAAACATTGTTAGAGTATTTTATCATAGCAACAGCACAATTACCAGAGCATTATCAGGGCAGCAGCAAGCAAGGCATTCAAAACATACATTCAGTTAGTTGTTAGCACAGGGAGATGTCTAAACATCTTCTGGGACATGTGGCTCCCCCTCAAGTATTGAGATCCCCCTCAATCAATGGCCAGTGGTCAGTCAGTGGTTAGTGGTTAGTCAGTCACTCACTCACTTTCCCTCTCCCCCTTTTTAGTCATAATATGCCAAAGAAAAGATGTAATCAAAGGAATATCAGTATTAGGGTACAAACCATAAAACTCAAATGTCAAGCACATGTAAGTGCCAAAAAAGGAAACAAATTGTTCAGAGAAACATCAAATAGTATAACTGTCATCCTGACCAGTTGACTTGGTTGAACCAGAACTTCTTTCCTCATTGGAATCTTCACCTTCAGAGCTCAGTGCATCATCAAGGTTGCTATCCTTTTGTAGGTCCTTGATCATCTTTTCAAAGACTAGCTTCCTAGCTGAGCTCACTCTGATCACATCATCTAATTACTTGTAAGCTTCCTTTAGTTCATTGATCATATCATCCTTAGTGGAGGTCTTGTCAGTAGGAGCAGATGTTAAAACAATGTTTGGGACATGTTTTCCAGAAAAGAGCTTAAAGTGGAGGGTCAAGGCAAACTCCCTTTTGCACACAACATCATTTCCACGTAGGATTCTAGGATGCTGATTTAAGATAATTCCACAGAGGAGGGAAGGAAAAGCAATTGGCATCTTGATGGCACAAGTTCCTGCATGTTTGATGGTCTGATCAAAGATATAAGTCCCATAGTCAAAAAGTTTTTGGTTTACAATAGCATAAACGAACTTTCCTAAACCAATGGAGATGGTTGAGGTGTGATTAGTGGGGACCCAATTTGCAGCTCCAATCCTGTGTAAAATAGCATATTTTACACTCATTTTGCTGACAGGAAGTTTGTTTTTCAATGGCCACTCACTTAATTGATTGGCAGTAATGGCTCTACATACTTGATTGTCTGTAACTTCCCGCTCACAACAGACATCTTCAGACCTATCTAGAAACTTGTTGATAATGGAAGGAGAAAATTCAACAGACTTTCCTCTAACAAAAACCTTTCTATATTCCTTACTCTAATGGTCAGCACAGTCAACAGGAATATTAACAATAAACTCCTTAACAAGAGTTTCATAGCAATTTGCATACCTGGTGACTGTTTTCATCAGTCCAGCATAGGAGATCAGCTCCATGATTTCCTTACACTCCAAGGCACCAACTCCTAGCTCTCTCTCCAGGGAAATCCTTCTTTGATTCACATACTTCCACTTTTCAGCATTCCCAGCAGAGTGAAAGGAGATGTTGTCAAGTGGGGCATCAGGAACCCTAACAGACAATTTCTTAGTTGCAGACTTTTTGATAGGAGATATGTCCTGGACATCTTGCTCGACATCATACTCAGAGTCAATCTCTTCAACTAGAACATCTTTCTTCTTACTCTTGGACCTTTTTTACAAGATCCTCCTCATCATCACCAGAGGTAACAGGTCTAGCTTTTCTCTTTCTAGAAGGAGGGACCACTTTACTTCCTGGGTCCATACATGGTTTTCTTCTTGATAGTCTT